TACATTACGCACAGCGTAGCACTTTAAACTCGTAGATATTCAAAAAAAAAAAAAAAAAAGATACCCATGTACGGAAAGGATGGCAGAACACAACAAGGGTAACATAGCCCTACAGGGCACCGAGCACAACAGACAGTTCACCGTTTGCCGCGAAGGAGCGGGAAAGGATTAGTAATTAAAGCGGTAACGGGAAAAGCGGGGTGGGCAGACTCGGTCAAGCTAACTAGCGCTTGCGTAGGGATCTCAATGCGAAGCTGGGACCGGCCCGCAATAGCCTGCTGATAGTCTGGTGGTGGAATGTCTGGTTGTGATTGGTGTACTCTGCGGAGAGGTAATTCCTTTGTTAGAACATGAATGATACGAGATTGTTGGCGACGTACTGCGAAAGCTCAAACCGTGGCGTGGGGCTAGACCGTAGATGTGCTTTAGAAAATCGAGAACGGAACGGCTGACTCTCGACCTCTCCGAGGTGGTGCAACGAACTCCGTCTACGACTGTGTGGCGTCGTAGTACGGCCTGCGGTGAATGGCACAATGGTGAAAGTATCCGGCTCACGGAGGAGGTCTGCCTTCACTCCTCTGCGTGGTACTATACCAGGCACTGCATACCTACGGCGCAGGAAGGTCACCGCTAAGGCGAAGATCAGAGCCAAACCTATCACCCCGGCTATGACACCACCGACGACTGGGCCAACTGTGGCCTTCCGCGAAGGCGCAGCCCTTTGAACTGATCAGGCCAATGGTATACAGCATCGAAAGGGTACTAACATTTGTGTTTCGCGGTTCGCTGGAGCAGTGTTGCTCAAGATGGTGGGTGATGGGAAAGATGAAGCAGATACAGATACAATGTCGGACCCTGTATTTGACCACGAGGAATGGACGACCTTGTCAAGGTCCAGGAACTGCTCTGTGGAGTCTAAGTTTGTGATTTTCACGTTGTGCTGTCCGTCTGGGAGGCCGCTTGCCCAATACTATATCCCCAGTTAGAATACACCACCTTCACGAGTGAGCGGTACGAGCATAGCGCACCAGGAGGCTTTGAGCACGGAACTCTGGGGATGTACCATTGAAAATCATAGAGGGTTGTCCATCCATAGACACCGAGTATAGCCCGTGATTCTTTGCAGTTGCACCGTACACCGATATGACGTTGCCTTGGAAGGTGATCACGGCATACGCGCCCTGTATGCTTGATCGACTATGGTGAAATAGAATTAATTACTTCCCGAGATCAAGGTAAGTATACTCGCTCACTGCATGGTTTGCATGTAATAATACTGCGAGAAGTCGTTGGGGCTTGAATCCCATGCGCCGTCGGAATAAGCAATACTGGCATCCCCGTCGTCCAGCGTTGTGTCATTCGACAAAGTCCTGTCAATGAACAAAGACAAGATTAGGTGGCCCCAATGGACATGAGCGACGGACTCACTTTGAATTGCCATCGCTAGCGGTGACAACCATATAATCGACATCCACCCAAGATGGGCTCGTCGTGGTGTACTGGTTGCTCAATACGATTGTATGAGGCTTTGAATGATCGAGGCCGGTCTGACTGAACAGCGGTTGGTTGAACAGTGGGTCCGCCGAGAAGCCGTTCGCCTTCGTTACTTCGCCATCGAGGGCTACTGCATAAATGTCCTACATTCGGCATGTCCGGTTAGTAAATTACAGCGTCGGCAAGCCAAAGAGGACTGACATGATTCGACCGTTTGGCACCGAAAATATAAACAGCCGACCCATTGAACGTGAGTGTAGCAGATGCATTCTGAAATCGACGAGATAAGCTTCAGCGCGTCAAAAGAATATGATATGGCCCTACCAGGGTACCTGTCGCGTGGAATGTGCTATTCACGTAGCTCGACTTCAGAGGATCGGCGTCGGACGAGTCACCCCACTGACCGGCAGTATACCGGATGACTGGATGGATATCATCGACTGTCGTGAACGGATGTATAAACAGGACGCCGCATAGAATCGAGTCAAGGTGACACGGACGTACTCGTAAAGTTGAATTCAGGCATTTGCTTGTCTCGCGAGCAGAAGATCTGGACTTTCCCTCAAGGTCAGTCACCACTGTCCAAGCAGTGGAGAATAATAATATCCTGCCAAGCTGTCCTGAGCAGCGAGCTGAAAACGTAGAAAGAGTGGAGTGGACGTCGTCAAGCTCTATGGAAGGACGCCTCCTGGCCGGAGGGGTCGGGCATCGCCATGGTCGGTTTGCGGGCTGTGTAAACGAATCAAGCAACAGCAATAGGACTGCGTGTGTGTAGTAATAGAATGTAGCTACCATCCTACCATCGTAGATGGTGTAAAGATGTAACTTGTAGCCATCGGGACTTGTGCGCGTGCGAAATCACTACATATAACCGGATCTTGGGTAGGTGTTGGTTAATACAGGACCAAATGCATGCGAATTCAGGTCTATACGTACTGAAGCTATATCCATGATTCCTGGATGCAGAACCTGACGACATTGGAGAATAAAAAAGAAAGACCATCACGTTTTGCATATCCTGCACTTCGATGAAACTCCCGGAGGACGCTTTGTTGGTAAGGCGGGGAGATAACATATATAGGCTCAATATGCTGTCAGCATCATGGCAAGATGGCCGAGCGGTCTAAGGCGCCGGATTCAAGCGCCAAGCTTGCTGACGACTTGTCAGCTGATTCCCGGTCACGAAAGTGGCGCGAGTTCGAATCTCGCTCTTGTCAATGAGTTTTTCTTCCTCTGAGTTATGATCATTTGTTATGATTGATCTTAATTTGATCTATCCTCTCA